GGTCAATTATTTCATTTTTTTAAAATATAAATACTTTCGCTTCTATTAAGTATCAACTAATAAGATATTTACGTTTAGAACCTGTTGGAACTGCTAAGCCTAAATTTCCTTCAATCGACAAACTGCGAGCATTTGAAGCTTCCGTTGAGAAACCGTTAACTTTAATGTGCCCAGCTCAAGCGTACCCAGTTCCAAAATACAGGTAATAGAAGCGAAATAATTAGATTACAATTCTAATTTTAATAACAATACAATAAATTATACATTTAGAACCTGTTGGAACAGCAAAACCTAAATTCTCATCAATCGACAAATTGAACGCCTTTGAAGCGTTAGTTACAGAACCGTTAACTTTAATATGCCCAGCTCAAGCGTACCCAGTTCCAAAATACAGGTAATATAAATAGATTTTAATTGCTATCTTTAAAAGTCATAAATTGTATATTTAGAACCTGTTGGAACAGCAAAACCCAAGTTCCCATCTTTAGATAAGTCACGTACTTTTGATGCTTTCGTTCATAAACCGGTAACGTTGATGTGCCCTGCTCAAGCGTTTCCTGTCCCTAAGCATAGGTAACTATCTCGTTATTAAATTAGAAATTTGGATAAATCTTTGCAGAACCAGTGGGAACTCGTTCCCCAAAATTATTATCATCAGCTAAATTAACATGGTTCGAAGAAAAATCGGGTAAAAACTTATCCCTCTTGTGCCAGGCTCAAGGGTACCCAACACCCGTGTTTAGGTAAATACTCATTTTTTTCTATTGACAATCTTTAGAGCCCGTCGGAGGCAGAGCACCAACCTTAACATCAAACGTTGTTGGCACCAGCGTCAAAGAAATGTCCGAGAAAAATATTGTATTATTTTGTCAAGCCCAAGGGTATCCCACACCTTTGTTCAGGTATTTTATTTTCATTTACTGTTTTTCGAATCAAAAGAAACATTCTCGATTTTTAATAGAACCCGTTGGAAGTAGGGCACCTACTTTAACATCTAACTTTGTTAGTACCGGCGTTAAGGAAACGTCAAAAACAGACATTGCTTTACTCTGTCAAGCACAGGGATATCCAACTCCATTATTTAGGTAATAAATTTAATTTTTTCTTTCAATATGACTATCGTTAAATTAAAATCAAGGGTACCCCATTTTATTCAGACCCCATCTTATTTTATTTTGATTTCTTTATGGTGATTTTTTAAATAGAACCAGTTGGAAGTAGAGCACCCACGCTAACATCTAATTTTGTAATCACCGGGACCATAGAAACTGCTAAAACTGATATTGCTTTATTGTGTCAAGCTCAAGGATACCCTACACCATTATTTAGGTATTAAATCTTTCCTAATTGGTACGCATTTTTTTATTTAGAACCTCTGGGAAGTAGAGCACCCACTCTAACGTCTAATTTTATCAGCGGAGCAAAAGCTGCTTTCAAAACAGACATTGCTTTATTTTGTCAAGCTCAGGGGTACCCTACGCCTTTCTTCAGGTACTGTAACGTTCTAGTTTGAATTTTCTTTTTGTAGAACCTGTGGGTACGAGAGCACCTCGTTTAGCCGCCGATGTAAAAAGTGTAACAATAGAAAAACCAAATAGCCACAGTATTAGTCTTCTGTGTCAAGCTCAAGGGTACCCAATGCCTGCTTTTAGGTAACCTATATTTATTTTTAAATATCAATTTTATTGGATTTTGATGTGTTAGAGCCGGTTGGTGTAAAAGGGCCGGTATTTTCAACTGACAACCTAATAAATGCTTTCGCGAGATCATCCAGCACGAGCTTTGCCCTTCTGTGCCAGGCGCAAGGGTTACCCGTTCCCAAATTTAAGTAAGTCGATATTTATTTCATCTAATTTTCCGCTAGAACCGGTTGGAACCAAAACGCCAACGTTTCCTAACGACATAACTATTATGGGCTACACGCGACAGATGGGACAAACTTTAACGTTACTTTGTCCCGCACAAGCAATGCCAATACCGACATATAGGTAAAACATTATTTTCGATTATTTCAAATATAAGCGTACCCTATCTTTTAGCATTTAATATCTGTTTAAATTTTATGAGTATTTATAAGAACATTTAGTTTTCTTCAGAGCCTTTAGGGTCAAAATCACCAACGTTTTCTAGTACATCGCGAAGCTTTTCTTATACGATGACACAAAACACTAGCTTTGCATTGTTATGTCCTGCTCAAGCTCTTCCAATTCCTACATACAGGTAGGTAAATTATAAATAAAAAAAATTAATGCATAAAATCCAGTAAAAAAGTTGCATATTTTTGCTGCCCGTTCATAAAGCTTAATAAAATAAATCTACTATTTTTAATCTATTTAATCCAACATTAAGGCAGGAGCGCACACCCCAGACAGTTTTAATATTACAGAACCGGTTGGAAGTAAAGCCCCCTCTTTTACGAACGATCTAAAAAGCATGGGGTACGAACGCCAACTCCAACAAAGCTTTGCACTACTATGCCCGGCTCAATCATTACCATTACCAACATTTAGGTAGGCTTTTATCTCTTTTAAAATCTTACAAAACTGCTTTTTTACTTCCTATTCAGAACCGATGGGGTTAAAACCGCCAGTTTTCCCGTCGGAATCGTCGAGTTTTACGTACTCAAAGCGCTCGAAAACCATCTTTGCGCTACTCTGCCCGGCTCAAGCTCTTCCTATCCCAACGTATAGGTAACTGCACGTTTTTATTGTGAAAATCTCATTCTTTAGAACCAATCGGAATGAAAGCTCCGAGCTTCTCGCACGACGCATCGAGCGTATCTTATACCTACTTGAAACCGATTGGAACAAATTTTGCGTTGATCTGCCCGGCTCAAGCGTTACCCATCCCGAGTTTTAGGTAATTGTTAATTTAGTTTTTGATGTTTAGAACCAGTGGGGTTAAAAGCTCCATCATTTTCAAATGACGCAACTAGTAGCTCTTATACAAGAGCTGTAGGACACGGTTTCGGGCTTTTATGTCAAGCTCAATCTTTCCCCGTGCCTAAATTTAGGTACGTTTACTTTTGGGTACCTTATCCCATATTTATTATTAATTGTAGTTTATTGTGGATGTTCTATTTTGTTTGTTAGAGCCTTTGGGGTTAAAAGCTCCTACGTTTTCTGGAACGTCTCGTATATTTTCCCTTAAAGTTGGAATTAAAGAAAGCTTTGCTATATTATGTCCAGCTCAAGCTTTACCAGTTCCATCTTTCAGGTAGGTTAAATATATAGATTATATTAGGATTTAACATGGTGCCTATCCCTACATTTAGGATTTTTAATATAATTTAGAAAAATAATATTTATTTTTGTTTGATTAGAACCGTTGGGTTTGAAAGCTCCGAGTTTTTCTTCCGATTCCAAGACATTCTCATTTGATAGGAGATTTAATACAAGCTTTGCTCTACTTTGTCCGGCCCAAGCTTTACCAGTTCCACATTTTAGGTACTATTATAAAAATAACTTCGAACTATTAATTGATGGGGTACTCTTCCTATTTTGAATGTTAAATCTAACCTGATTTAAAATCATTCTTTTTAGAGCCCATTGGAGGAGTGCCTCCCAAAGTAAAAGAGGTAGATGTCATGAAAAAGTCAGTATTGCAAGCCGCCACGTCCTCGTTGACGTGTCCAGCTCAAAGCTTTCCACCTCCTGCGTTCAGGTAATTTCAGTTTATCCCCTTGCATTCACACATTTTCTGGGCGCTTTTCGTAGAACTCAAGCTTTTTATGACATGTTGTTCGTATTTATAGAACCTACCAATAATATAGCACCGAAAGCCTTAGATGACAAATACGGCTTTGCTAAACTCTTCACAGCACGCAACTTAACGGTGTTTTTAACGTGTCAAGTCGTGGGGTACCCTGTCCCAAAATTTAGGTATGTTTAAAATTGTTCATACATAGTTGGTTTCTTGTAAATATTTAGAACCCACTGGAAATGTTCCACCGAAAATTTCTGGCGAACGTTACGAAGGAGGAAAATTAAAATTTTTTCTGTTGAACTCGTTCGTTGTGCTTACGTGTGATGTTGTGGGATATCCTGTTCCAATATACAAGTAGGTAAAAATAACACGATTTTTTTTTGGTTGGCACATTTTAATTTAACGATTTATCAAACTATTATTATTATTATTATTTTATATATTGGATAACAAGCGGCTCTTGTTTCAGAGCCTACAAATAATATGCCTCCAAAAGCCATAGACCAAAAGATCAGATTTACAATGCTTTCTGTGCCTAAGAATGAAACGATTTTTTTGATGTGTCCCGTCGTTGGGTACCCTGTTCCTTTATTCATGTGAGTGCCTTTTATTAAGTAATTTCTGAACGGTTTTTTTTTAACTTCCAATTAATTATAATTGATGTTAAGGTTAATAGAGTTTAATATTCAGAGCCAACGGGAAATATTGCTCCAAAAATATCCGGATCGAAATATGATGGTGGCAAAATATACAGCTACTTTTGCAATAGAACCGTCTTCATGACTTGCGACATCGTAGGGTACCCAATTCCAAAATACAGGTAGTCATACTACTACATAATAATAAAAATAGAAAGAACATACATCTAAGTATAAATCGATCTCAAAAATGAGTGATTAATATTATTACAGAACCAACTAATAATGTACCACCAAAAAAAGTTGGGGCTGAATTTGGTGGTTGGAGAGTACTCTCAATACCAAAAATTGAAAACGTTTGGTTAACATGTCAAGTTACCGGTTTTCCTGTTCCAAGATTTTTGTGAGTAGGAATTCCACCACGTCTTATAAAGTAAAAAAAAACTCCCTCGATGATAAATATTTTAAAAAGGTGTCCATAAAAACTTTCTTTTCAGTTACGTTTCTGCAATATCAGGTACGTCCATCTTTTTTGCATATTCACGTTTTTTAGGTTGTCTCTTCAAAGCCAAGGGCAAGGTAATTTTCACAAAAGCATTCGTATTCTCGTTTCTCCCTTCCATTTGAGACGAAAGGTCAGCGAAAGTTCATTTTCAGAACCGACGAACAACGTCGCCCCGAAAAAAGACACTGAGAACTTCAAAGGGTGGAAAGTCGTGGACGTTCCTATTAAGCACGTTGCCTGGTTAACTTGTCAAGTAACAGGTTATCCCGTTCCGAAATTTTCGTAAGTTTTTCCTTTTTTATAGCCATTCTGAGACCCACACACACGCTAAGTTTTGTTAGATTTCACTGTTTTATTTTTAATTGGTACTCATTTAGATGCGGGTAAGTGTTTTTGCATGATTGGCGTGTATAGGATTCTGTATTTTTATTTCTTTAATTTTGGCTTACCCATATTCCATTGTTCACGCAATTATGTTTAAACTAAATGTTTAGATAAAACGGAAAATGCAGAATCCTAATCGCTAACTATATTTCAGAGCCCACAAATAACATATCACCTAAACTGGTTGGGGAAAGAACTTTGGGAAAGGTTCTTACAGCGCCTTTGAACGTTACTGTTTCTCTACTTTGTCCTATTGTTGGATTTCCTTTACCCGTTTTTAAGTAAGTTTATTGGCGTGGAATAGATTTTAGTAGTTCCTTTCTGTATGTGTTCAAACACTTTAAGTTTGCTTGTGACGTCATAGGGTACTCTATTTCAAAATTTAGTTACGATATCAAATTTGTTAACATTTCTGTTAGAACCAACGGGTGGTACTTCACCGAAATTATCAGGAGATGGTTGGAATAAAAATTCAGCTAAACTGGGTGCTAACCTAGCGTTACTCTGTGATGCTCAAGCTTACCCAGCACCGAAAAAAAGGTAGTGTTACTTCTCTTTTATGATTGAACGCAAACAGGCATTTCTAGGGTTTTCCTCCAAATAATAATAGGTACGTATTGAATTTGCTTAATTTAAATTTTCAGAGCCTACAGGGTCTGTAGGGCCAAGATTAAAAAGTCGAACGATCGATATTAAAATCGTCGCAGTAAATACTAGCGTTGTGATTTTATGCCCAGCGCAAAGCTTTCCGGTTCCAGCTTTTAGGTAAAACAGAGTCGTATTAATTCTAGTTTTTTCATTTATTTCTTCAAAAATAGTGATTTTACAATGATTTCTCTTTTTGTTACAGATGGTACAAATTCGTTGAAGGAACCAACAGGAAACAAGTTATCCAATTGAACGACAGGATTCATCAGGTAGCCGGCACATTGATCATAAAAGAAGCTTTAGTTGAAGATTCCGGGAAATATTTGTGCGTGGTCAACAACTCTGTTGGTGGAGAAAGCGTTGAAACCGTTCTGACTGTCACTGCACCATTAAAAGCTAACGTTGATCCACCTGTTCAAACTATTGATTTTGGTAGACCTGCTGTCTTCACTTGCAACTTCGAAGGTAAGATTATAAATTATAATTACAAAATTAAAATTAAAATATTTATTCCTTTAAAGGTAATCCAATAAAGACAATCAGTTGGCTTAAGGATGGCCACCCATTAGACCATACCGAATCAGTCCTTCGTATTGAATCCGTCCGCAAAGAAGATAAAGGCATGTACCAATGTTTTATTAGAAATGATCAAGAGAGTGCAGAAGCCAGCGCTGAACTTAAATTGGGAGGCCGTTTCGACCCACCTTTCATCCGTCAATCATTCGCTGAGGAAGTACTTGAACCGGGAGCGTCCGTTTTCTTAAAATGCGTAGCTGGAGGAACTCCTACCCCTGAAATCACTTGGGAACTCGACGGGCGAAGACTTTCGAATAACGACAGATACCAAATTGGGCAATACATCAAAGCTGAAGGCGACGTTGTTTCTGTTCTCAACATCTCTGCAATTCATACCAACGATGGTGGTTTATACAGATGCATCGCTAGTAGCAAGGTTGGATCCGTTGAACACGCTGCTAGAATTAATGTTAAGGGACACCCTCACGTTAGAGCTATGGAAAAACAGACCATTGTTGCTGGTGGTACTTTGGTTGTGCATTGTCCTGTTGCTGGGTATCCTATTGAATCAATTATTTGGGAAAGAGGTTTGTGGAGAAATGTGGTAGAAAAAGATATTGATTTTAAAGGAATTGTTTTTGTTTAGATGGCCGTGTTTTACCAATCAATAGAAAACAGAAAGTCTTCACCAGTAACGGAACTTTGATTATTGTTGATGTCGAAAGAGGATCTGACCAAGCATCTTATACTTGCGTTGCCAAAAGCCCACAAGGATTCACTGATAGAAATACCGTTGAAGTCCAAGTCATGGGTAAGTTATTGTTTTTAATTACCAAATTTGTTTCTTTGGAAGAAGGAAGATTATTATCATAATTGATGAAAAAATCTTTCTTTTATCATTGTGAGGTTACAAAATTTTTCTTCGATTCTTTAAATAAAATTAAAATTAATTCGTGTGTGTGAGAAACAGAATTAGTAAAGAACAGTAATAAGAGGAAAAATTTTGTATATTTTTTTGAACAGGTACAGGAGAATCCATAAAGATAGGGATTATTTGTAATTGATTTTTGTGTATGACGATCTGGCAAAAACCAGTTGAGACATTGTAAAAATTCCTTTCAGCAGTTCGGGAATAAAAAACACTAAAAAGCAGGTAAGACGGGTACAAACAATAGCTTTGCCAAGCGAAAAAACATCATTCATGAACATCTACTCATCGCCTGAGCTATAGTCGGGCTAGTTTTTAGTTGTTTTTTCATTGAGAATTTTCATTCTACTTCGATCTTGCCAACAAAACCTACTTCTTACGTGGTTAGAATAGAAACGCCGTTACGGTGCACTCTGCGGATAACTTTCTCGAAAATATTCAAATTGTTGCAGTCTTCAAATTTAAAATTTCTTAATTTTCTTAAATCAACCACCGATTAAAAAAGTTTTTTTGATTTTTATTTTCAAATACTCCAATTTTACACATCTATAGTACTTCCCCAGATCACAGCATTCGATTTTGGAGAGAATCCAATAAACGAAGGCGAACTAGTTTCGGTACAGTGCATAATTTCCAAAGGAGACCTTCCATTGTCAATTCACTGGAGTTTCCAAGGTAAACCCATAGATAACCTTTCCACCGGAATTTCCTCCTGGCAAATGAACAAGAGAATAAGCATTCTGAGTATAGATTCTGTAAACGCGGACCACGCTGGAGAATATTCCTGTACAGCCCAGAATCAAGCAGGAAGTGCAGCTCACTCAGCTTATTTAAACGTCAACGGTACATTACATTTTCGCACGCGAATAAGCATACTAAAACGCACTCGCTTTAATCCGCACATTTTTGTCTAAAAATAAATATAAAATCAATTAATTTTTTTTTCGCAGTTGTACCCCAAATTTCCCCTTTCACTTTCGAAGATTCTGTTAACTCGGGCGAAACAGTTTCCATACAGTGTACAGTCGCTAAAGGTGACACTCCGCTTATTATTTCGTGGTCTTTAAATGGTAAAATGATCGATTCTCGCAATGGAATCACAATAATGACCATGAAAAGGTTTAGCACATTAAATATTGATTCTGTACAAGAAATTCATAGCGGCCAATACACTTGTACCGCATCTAATATGGTTGGATCAACATCTTTTGATGCTAAATTAAATGTTAAGGGTACCGTTTTTATCCTGTTTTTTGTAGAATGTTCTTTGTTGTTTTAGTTGTTTGTTAATATTGGACTATTCCTTTCTTCTTTGTTATTATAAGGGAAATTATTTCAAAGATATATTTTTGAAATACTTTCTTTTATTTACTGGACGTTTTACAGTACCCCCTCATATAGCCCCTTTCGACTTCGGCAGTGAAAGTTTAAACGCTGGCGAATCAGCTTTTTTACACTGTAACATCAATAAGGGAGACCACCCGGTAAACATCGACTGGTTCCTAAACGGAAAGCAAATATCGAGTCTTTCGGGAATCGTGGTGAATCGTTACGACAAAAAAGTGAGTAGCCTAAGCATTTCTTCCGTCCAAGAGGAGCATAGCGGAAAGTACACTTGTAGAGCAACAAATTGGGCTGGCTCAGCTTACTACACCGCAATTTTAGCAGTCAATGGTTTGCAATTTTCGAGCAAATTACCACCGTTTTTTGTTTTTCACCTGTGCCTAAATGTCCATTAATCATCCTCCACGTAAAAGTCGATTTAATTTACATGTATTTGTCGTTACCTATGTGTGTAGTTTTCCCTCAAATCGTTCATTTCGATTTTGGTGAGGATTTCGTAAACGAGGGCGATGGAGTTTCAATTCAATGCACAGTATCTAAAGGAGATTATCCTTTGAATATCAGTTGGGCCCTAAATAATCGACCTATTCTACAGGACGAAGGGATAATGTTAAATCGCGTGTCAAAACGAGTCAGCACATTGAGTATAGATAACGTTCAAGCGCATCATGCTGGCAATTATACTTGCATCGCAATTAACAAAGCTGGCAAAGATGAATATATGGCGAGTTTATCTGTGAATGGTACTTTTAATGATTAATATTGTTATTAAATGCTAATTTAATCTTTATAAAATCTTTACTTTAACTATCCCTTATACCCTTATTTGTATAGATAAACTTGTTTCAATATCTTTATCGATACAATTTATAATTTCTAGTTCCTCCTCATATATCCCCATTTGATTTCGGAAGTGATGTTTTAAATGCTGGAGAATTAGCTTCTTTATACTGTCGGGCTAAAGGCGATGACCCTATTTATTTCGAATGGTACCTCAATGGTGATCGTTTAGATGATCATCAAGGTATCAATGTGAATCAATATGGAAGAAGAGTTAGCAACTTAAACATCGATTCCGTACAAGCTGAACACAGCGGAAAGTACACGTGCAAAGCGACTAATTCGGTTGGTTCCGCGTATTACACAACGAATTTAGCAGTGAACGGTTTGACCTCAGTTTCTCATTTTTTTTGTTCTTTAATTCCCAAATTTAAAACAATTTTATTTAATTTTTTCTTGGCTTTACCTCTTTTCTATCGCAACATCTATTTTTAGTTCCACCATATATTTCTCCATTTGACATTGGACAAGATTCTGTTAATGCCGGTGATTCAGTTACATTGTATTGTACCGTGAGCAAAGGCGACAATCCAATTACAGTCGAGTGGTACCTTAATGGCCACGTGCTTTCTAGTGGAGACGGAGTTTCTATCAGTTCTCATGGACGGAAGGTCAATATACTTAGCATAGACTCTATTCGGGATAAGCACAGTGGAAAATATACTTGCAAAGCTACAAATTTTGCTGGTTCTGCTTATTATACCACGAGTTTTGCTGTTAAAGGTTGGGTTAAATTTTGGTTTGTTTTATAATTTTGTTTAATCATATTGTTTTTTATTTGAAGCCATTTTAATCCATGAATTAAAATCACATTCTCGATTTTTTTATAATTATTCAACTTTATTTTATGGGAATAAGCGCATTAAAGATAAAATGTAATGAAGTTTTACTTAAAATTCTGTGTTCGAAACTTTAACAAAGTTTATTCTTTGTTCTTTCTTTTTGTTTTGGATGGGGTAAAGTTTCGTAGGAAAATTTCCGAAAGTTGACTTGCATACGATTGGGATTTTAAGTTAAAGCCCTGCAAACTTTTTACAATTTATGTAAGTTAATTCTTCTTGGTTCACGTTTTAAATAATGCATTATGCTTAAAATAGGTTATAAATGATTTATTTGTGCGTTTATAACATTTTATAGTTCCCCCTCACATTGCGCCATTTGAATTAGGGAGTGATACATTGAACGCCGGTGAATCAACATCACTTTATTGTATGTTAAACAAAGGTGATCATCCCGTTCAATTTAATTGGTACCTTAAAGGTGAAGAGATTTACAACTTTGAGGGAATTTCAATTACCCCTTTCGGCATCAAAGCTAGCATTCTCCATATCGATTCGATTCAAGCAAAGCATAGTGGAAAGTACACTTGTAAAGCAACCAATTTCGCTGGATCGGCGTATTACACTACTAAGTTGCTTGTTAACGGTGATTTTTTATTTACTGTTTTAATTAATATTTCACATCATTATTTTGATTTAATTTTGATGTTATTTTTGATTATTTATCAGTTCCTCCTCATATCACTCCATTTGATTTTGGCGGAGACAGTTTGAATGTCGGTGAAAGTGCTTCTTTAATGTGTACTGTCAATAAAGGCGATCGACCCATTAATATCGATTGGTTTTTAAATGGAAAAAGTATTTATGGAGTACAAGGAGTTTCTTTGATTGATGTTGGTAAAAAGGGAAGTGTGTTAAATATTGATGCTGTTAATGCGGAACATGCTGGAAAATACACGTGTAGAGCATCAAATTTTGCCGGTTTAGCCTACTATACAACTCAACTATCTGTTAACGGTTATTGAATTTTTTGTATTTTAAAAAAAATCGAACCTGCTGTAAATATTCGCTTAATTATTTATTTATAGTTCCGCCCCAAATTGCTCCTCTTATTTTCGCTGAAGATTCCGTTAATTCCGGTGATAGCGTTTCTCTTCAATGCACCATCACCAAAGGTGATAATCCTGTTAAAATCGATTGGTTGTTAAATTCAAAATCTACGTTAAACGAAGAAGGAATTGTCACTAGTCGTGTAAGCAAAAGAGTTAGTACTTTAAGTATTGACTCGGTTGGTGCTCATCATTCAGGCGTTTATACTTGCAGAGCATCCAATGTAGCTGGTTCTACTGATTATTCAACAACATTAGATGTTAATGGTATTAAAACATAGTTTTTTGGGGTTTATAGTTATAATAGCACTTTTAATTTAAATCACTTTCCAATTATTTATATTTTTTAGTTCCACCCCACATTTCCCCATTTTCCTTCACGGATGAGTCTGTAAATTCCGGTGATACCGTCTCTGTGTCGTGTATCATAGCAAAAGGTGATAATCCTATTAAAATCGAATGGCTTTTAAATTCGAAATTGGTTAGAAATGACGAAGGAATTTTCCCAAGTACTAGTAAACGCGTCAGTACGATTACTATAGATTCTGTGTCAGCTCATCATGCTGGAATTTATACTTGTAAAGCTACAAACTTGGCTGGGACGACGAATTTTTCTACAACGTTAGATGTTAATGGTATTTTAAATAACTGTTTAATTTTATTTTTTTATTTTCATTTCACGCACAGTCCCTCCTCATATAAATCCCTTTGATTTTGGTCGTGCTGTAATGAATGCTGGTGAATCAACGTCTTTATATTGTACGTTAAACTTTGGTGATCAACCTGTATATTTCGATTGGTTCCTAAATGG